GGCTCTGGCTGTGCTTCCCCTTTTCTGGCTTACCTCGTACTAAATAATTTTGCGTTTGTCTTTATGTTATAGCTGGTTAAGGCCTCACCTATCCTAGGGGCTTCAGCTATTCCAGAGGAGTCTGTGGGAGACATGGGTTTCTCCAGTACGTAGGCTGCCCAGTCCAAACTTAATTCTCCTGGGCTCCCTCAGCCGACATAAGCTGAGGTGAGCTAACGCTCCTGGTGGGCAGCTGGACAGTCTTGGTCCGGGACGGGCAGGATGGCGCTCAGCAGGAGGAACGCCTGCCAGCACCACACGTCTCTGCCAGGGCTGCGAAGAAAGGCTCGTTCACTGAATTGCCAACTGGTCACTTCGGCAAGGGCCTGTGCCAGGTGCCAAACCCCAACCTTTCACCTGGCCACCTTCAAAGGTGGCATATGGCAGCTGGGGCAGTGATCTGGCTCAGAAACCCAGACAACTTGGAGTTGTCCTCGGATCCGTTTTATACCTGACATAGCATAAGAGATGGAGAGCAGCTGAAGAGACATCACTACATGCCAGGATCATGCTCTGGGGTTTCTTCTTTTCATGTCATAGCCAGGCAGTCAAGAGCCACAGCCGGGGCAGTAGTAGGAGAGCCCGGATCGGTCTCTCCAGGATGGACGTCTGGGCTCAGGCTGTCAATGCCTGATACAGCAGTAGGAGCCAGGGTTGGGGTTATCCCTTGGTCAGGCCCTCTCCTGTGTGGGATGGGGGTTAGCACTGCTCACTCCTAGTGCGTAGGATACTAGCTAATGAAAGATCCCAATTTCCATACCTTGACCTCCAGGCAGGGTCAGGATGCACCAGCTGCACTCAAAATATCTTTCTCATCACTGCTTATCCAGCGCTGTGATCTTCTTTGGCAGGGCCAGGAAGCACCAGTCTCGCTCCAAAACGCAAAGCCTTCACTTGCTTTTGGGACTCTTTCAACTACCTTGCGGAGGAAACCACATCCGTAGGAGCTTTCCCTATGCGGGCAGACATCACAATAGAGCGTACGCCAGGGAAGTTATAATTACAAATTTGTATATCTGGAATGACCTCCATTTTCAGGTGCGATATTTTAAAAAAAAAAAAAGGCACTCATTTGGGTGGGTGGAGGAAGGGGAAGTGTTTGCACACCTGGGAGATGACAGACGTGCTTGCATCTGTAAAGGCTGCAATTCATCTTGCCCAAGCCTTGTAGTCTAAAAAACTCACCCTTTAGCCTCATCTTAAAATAGGTGTCTAAACTGAGCCAGTTTTCCTGGACAGATAGAAAGGCAAAAAAAAAAGAAACAAATATCGCATCACAGATGCCTGTAACAGCAATGTTTGTATTTTACTTTTTTTTTCTCCAAGCATATTTCCATTATTAGTCTTTTCAGATAAACGAGATGTTTATGATGAGAACTATTTTCCTAGTCTTTCATTCGCACATAAAACATCCAAACAATGCATTCCTCTGGCAACAGCTGGGGCTTGGTATGGGGCTTTTTTATTACAGCTGCAGAGTTCAGACAGAATTCCCTCAGTCTTACGCCGGCCATGAATGAGCAATTTTGTCCAGCAGCTGAATTGTCTGGAAAACAATGGACTAGGCTTTCCAGACCTGCGTCCAGCAAGCTAGCCAGCGGCACGCCTTGTGCTCTTCGCTGACGTGCCCTCTCTCTACCCCGCTGAAGCTTTTCTACCTCTGCTTTTGAAGCAGGTTAAGGAGCCCTTTGCTCTGCTGTTTCTTCTATCTCGGGCAAACACATTTCTGTCTAGCTTTTGGACTTGGAGAGTGGTTTATGGAGAATTCACTGGTATTCAGATGTTTACGGTAGCACGGGAAGAGTTTTCTGCCCGTTCTCCGCAGAGGGAGCCCAGAGAACCACCTTGTGGCCTAGGGAGCTAGCTTGGACTTGGATGCTTAACTTCAGGTTTTTAAAAACACGTGAGGCAAATCTCTTCTTTGGAGACCAGAAGGACAGCTGGGCTTTTTTTTTTTTTTTAATAGTTTTCCATATACTTGATGCAGTTTTCCTGACACATTGCTCAGAGGCTTCTGGTGCTGGTTGTTAGGGATTGAACAGTGGGTTTGGACCTTTGATCACCTAATATGATGACTCTTCTGTTTCCACTCAGGCAACACGATGACAGACAGCAGGAAAATGGGACCAAGCCGGAAGAAAATTTTTTCTTTAGGGCAGCTCTGGTTAGGCACTGCCCCCGAAAAAGAAAGGAGCACCAACGTTTCACTTGAGAAAATCCCCGATTCTCTTTTCAGTGAAGATACTGTGCAGCGGCAAATAACAATAGTAATAAGAGATAGCAAGGGTGGGTTTCAGCAGGCCAGAGCTCTCAAAACAAACAAATGGAAAAATAACTACGTAAATCATGGCACAGGCATGAGAATTAAAGTTCCTGCCTTCCCAACCGCAGCAGGACCTACTAGTAGGTGCCTTTTTGTCCTTTGTACGCGCAGTATTGCCAACGCTGCGCTGATCAGGGATTGCCGGAACAGAGGCAGCGGCAGCGTGTTCCCTGCAAAATCCTTCTGCTACCTCACCTGGCAAAGCACGCGAAGGAGATACTTTCTCACCTTTCCAAACTTCGGCGTGACTGGGGACATGGATCCGTTCTCTCGTTCTGAGGATCCTTTCAGACCTGGTCCCCGAGGTCGGTATTTCAGCTGCTCGGGACATCGTTTGGGCAGAACACAATGCCTTTGGCAACAGTTTGTTGAGTAAATACATGATTGCGCGTGCTATCTAAAAAAATGTTGCTTTGCCCGTGTATCCTAGAATTAGACTTTCCAGAGCTCTCCGGGCTTTCTGTGCTCTGCGAACATATCCCAGATTTCCTTCACACCTCCACCTTTCTCAGTAGAGTTGCTGGAAGAGGTAGGAGACAACCAGACAGAGGAACAGCAAGTACGCCCACAGTTCCTTGAGGAAAATAATGGCGGAAACAAATCTAAGCTCACCGGGCCATCTGAAAGAAGTCAGCTGGTTAAAATTTTGGTGGTGTTCTCATGGAGGCAAAGAAACTGTCCGTTTGTCTCTTGTGTACAAGAGGACCAAATGGGGCTACTGTAAACTTCACTTAAATCCCAAGTTAGACAGGACTGAGGTGCTCAAGTTTTCAAGAGGGCCTCAAAAAACTCCTCGCTGACTGTACTGCCCGAAACTTCCAGCACAATCGTAGCACTTTTGAGACATGTATTTATGAAGTGTGATAATTGACAGTGATTTTACATGTATTGCTGAAAAAGACCTACCATTCAAAACTTTGGTTTCAGGTTGATTTTGCAGTTGTTTTCCCCTATCAGTGAACGCTCATGCTCAGTAGCAGTTTGACTTGCCCAGTCTTTGTGGGGAATTGAGGGGGGCTGATGCTGTTTTGGTCCTCCCTGCAGTCATGAGTTTTGGCCAGTGTTTCAGGCTTTTGCAAATATGTGGGTTGTCTTCCAGATCACCTACCAGCAGAGCGTCTTGCAAGCAGATTTGTGCCAGGTGATAATTTTTTAGAGTAGAACATTTTTGGTCATAAAATTAAAGGGAGAAGACAAGATGTTGCCCTTAAAGATGCTCTGTCTGTTTTGGCTGTACGTGTCTTAGAGAGGCTATAGGGATTTGTGCTTGCTTTCATTTTCCAGCATTGGTTTATTTAGACTTTAAACTCCATTGGGCAAGGACTTTGTGGGTTCTTCTAGGTCTGGATTATTCCCATCTAAATTTAATCATCAAAGTGCTAAAACTAAATGAGGAAGGCTGGTCCCTGGAGAGGCGACCTCCCTCTGCAGCCAGTGAATCATTCGGATCTAAAGTTGTAATACCTTTGCAGGTCCATCCTCTTCAGAGCAGGCAACTCCTAATGCAGGCACGTTGTGGCACCCAGATCTTAGCTATAATGTCTCCGAGTAAGAAATAAATCCATACCACAAAAAGGAGGATGCGCAGTTGTCCGTGCCTGAGAAAGCTATTACGTGGGGAACAAACCCACCAGTTTTACAGGAATATGAGTACAAAGCACATCTCCCAAAAGGATAATTGAGCTGTCAGCAACTTCAGGGGAATTTTGAAGTACTTTTCATCTTGCCTAGGTCCCTTGAAACCTAAAGAAGATCTGTGTGGAGTTAAAGAAGGAAAACCCCTTTCTGATACTCATGTCTGATTCCACCCTACTCAAATCAGAAAATGGAAAGCTACAGGTGAGCTGTCCACAGAATACAAAGTTGAAGGCTCTTGCCCCGTGAGGATGCAGCGTTGCACCAAAACGCAGCAGGCGTTTAGAGGGGCAGAAATTGGATGCAGAAGTAGCAAAGTCAGCTGCAGAAACGGGGTTGAGAAAACACCCACAGCACAAGGAAACAAATAACTCGTTGCAAACGCCTGCATTGTTTATTGGAGAAGATGGCAGTTTTGTTTGCTAACCAGCCAGAGCAGTCTTCAGCCAAACCTTGAAATGAGAAGTGAGGCCGTTACTCTTCCTTACGCTGGTGATAAAACGCGGAACGATACAATAGAGGTTGACAAACCTGGAAGTCCGAAGAGAAATCTCGGCAGTGGTTGATGTTAGTGCGGCTTGCCTTTGGATGAGTTCAAATGTGAATGAAATCTTTTGTACGCTTTGAAGTTAACTAGGAAAGATTTCAGAGAGAAAAGACGTTTCCAGCTTTGTTTAAAACATCTCCCCCCCCCCCCCCAACTTGGTTTTGGTTTCTTGTTATGACTCTGTTGGTATTTTCTATTTCTACTTTAAACGAATAACCAGCTTGAGACAGGCTGAAGCCAGTGTCTTTATTTGCCCTCTGTTTTAAGCCAAATTCCAAAAGCCATTTAGAAAGTTATTTGCATGTAATTTCTTTTTGTTAGGCCCTGTTGAATTTAGCACGTTTATCTCAGTCTTTGTAAAAGACATCGGAAGGAATAATTGCAACGAGAGAAATCACCTCATCTGAGCACGTTCCTCTCGGAGCTAAATGAAATACTACCACCCTTGTAGATTCTTCAGATAAACAGGGATTTGGGTCTACTGACTGCCCTTCTCAAGGCACACTTAATGTCCTTGTTCCTGAGGCTGTAGATCAGGGGGTTCAGCATGGGGGCCACAATGGTGTAAAACACCGCCACCACTTTGTCCGTGTCCCGTGGGGACCTTGACTTAGGATTCATGTACATGCAGATGGCTGTCCCGTAGAATATGGTTACCACCATCAGGTGGGATCCACAGGTGGAGAAGGCTTTGGACTGCCCATGGGCAGACTGAATCTGCAAAATGGTCAAAAGAATTCGGCCGTATGAGGTGATGATCAGGAGAAAGGGGATGAAGACGATGAGGATGCTGAAGGCGAAGACCACCATCTCCGTGAGGGCGATGTCGGCACAGGCCAAAGCCAGCACGGCTGGCACTTCGCAGAAGTAATGGTTCAGGGTGTCGGGCCCGCAGAAGGGCAGCCTGAAGGTGAGGCTGTTGATGACCATTGAGCTCAGCAGGCTGCTGATCCAGGAAGCCGCAACCATGTGAGAGCAAAGCTTCTTGCTCATGACGGCCGCGTATTGCAAGGGGTGACATATCGCCACATACCGGTCATAGGCCATGACTGCGAGCAAGACACACTCTGCCATGCCAAAAGCCAGGGAGAAATACATCTGAGCAGCACAGCCATGGAAAGAGATAGTCCTCTTGGTCAAGAGGTTCACCAGCATCTGGGGGATGTTGGTGGAGACATAGCAGATGTCTAAGAAGGATAGGTTGGCAAGGAAAAAGTACATGGGTTTCTGCAGCTGGTGATTGGCTCTGATCACTATAATGATCATGATATTCCCAACCACTGTGAACAGAAAAAAACCCAGGAACACTATGAAAAGAACAGCCTGTGTCCTTGGTTGGCTGGAAAGGCCTTGAAAGATGAATTCTGTCACTGTGCTTTGGTTTTCCTCGGCCATTATTATTCCAATGGTTTAGCTGACAAGATAAATAGTAACAAAGTCAACTCAAATCTGTGGCAAGGAAAGTGTAACAATAGCTCATATTTTACCCTCTGAAAAGGGGAGAGAATGTGCCATTGAATATCACGTATTGCAGATACTGCATAGCATCCGTTTTATATCATCTCTTGCGTTGAGTACAGAAATGAAAAGAAAATGTTGAAGTTTTCTCATGACAGATTTAGCTGAATGCCAGTTCATAGTGGTTTAATTACGTTTAACTGAAGAGTACCTGATTTATGAATTGTAATTCTGAACAGAATGACTCTTTTTTCTTTAAAAAAAAAAAAAACACCCAAAAAACAGTTTTGTGTTAGAGCAGAAGACAGCGTTAGAAGCTTGCTTTTTAATGTTCTTTTTTTAATATGGGAAGAAACACGAAAGAGACTTCTGCAGTGAAACTGGCCTTCAAACACTTTTGTTATGACAAAACTCTACAGTTTCAGACAAATGTGCCTACAGCCTTATCCTTTTTCTGCAGTAAAGCCAAAATATTCAGTGCACAGACCATATTTAACAAAGCAATATGTCCAACTAAGTTATATATCTAGGATTTTATGGCATTCTCATCGCTATATCTTCTAGTGTTCATTTTCTATCTTCCCACTATGTTGTCTAAGATGTAGTTAAGCATTCGTTATGACCTGAAAGTTTTAGAGCAATATATGCTCCTAGCTGCTGCATTCTGGATTTTTGTGCAATAAAAGGAGAGTAGCAGAACGCCTACATTAATAGCGCTGTGGAAGAGACTAAACTACAGCACGTCAAATTGCATTTATCCGAGGCATCTGCAGGTGGCAGTCGGATAGGACGCAGGGATGTTGGGAGATGTGGGCTCCTCTGAAATGAAAGCAGGACAAGCGGCAGGTCACACCAGGGTGTCCCACGTAGCACCAGACAGCTAGGACGTCTACTCAGTACAGTCAACGGACTCCGCGGGGTGATTCAGCTGACCGGCTAACAGGTGATAACTCTAGGTACTTCAGCTGAGAAGCTGAGTAGCCCTCTGGACTCCCTTGAGACCTGACTCGTTCCTCACTGACTAGAGAAGAAATTCAGATCTGTAACTTGCATATGGATGTCTATATGTAGTTGCCTGAATCAGATGCATTAATCTGAAACTGAATCCTATCCTTTGTGTTTAAGACCAAGAAGATCCTCTTGTATTTAAGACAGCAAATATTCTGTCCACGGGAAGCGTTGATAAATGAAGCACTTCTGCAAGACAGAAACTGTTCTTGTGGGGAGGTGAAGAAATACTTGTAAGAAGCTCAGGTCCAAGAGGTGGTTTACCTCAGCCCAGGATCAGTGTCTCAAGCGGGTGAGGCGGTGGCTGAGCTACGATCCCAGTCAGCACAACTGGAGGCCTCTGTCTCCACTGCAGCCCGAGGGACCTGGACTGCTCACCACCTACCTTTCAGTCAGCAAAGGACGGGTGCCTCTCTCCTGACTTTAAAGGTGGCATTGAGGTGCCTAAGCGTTGATGCCTCTTGCTGTTTTAGATGTGTCATGGTATCTAAGACGTCTGAACGGGACAGGCAGATATGATGCAAGCACTGCAGGAGACTTTCTGTCACCTGGAGCTACTTCTGGGTCCCAGTGGAACGTCCTGTGCTGTCTAAAGTGACAACAGACGCCTGAGCCCAGTTCCCTACGTAACTGCATTTGAGCCAGTTGTCTAAGCTCCCGTTATACTCAGTGAAGATGTACTCAGTAGGGTTGAGGGAACGATTCCTCTAACGTTTTTAGAAAGAAATGAATTGTTCTTTAGACTCTGTTGGCCAAGTCAGCTAGATCTTCACTGACAACTGTGCAAAGGTGGCAAGCAGCTCATCTCATATAGACACCTAAAGTCAGGTGAGGTGAGTCTGATCCCTGATATTTAATGAGATATTTAATTTAATCCTATCCTTATTTAAGACCTGAACTCTCTAGAGTAAGTGGGCTCTTCGTCAGCTTTGATGCCAGCCACGAGAACCTGAGCAGTGTGAAATTCAGTATCTTAACTTGGACGCAGAACTTGCAGCATGATCTCTCGCTTTCATTCTTTGAAGTGTGTATACATATGAGCTTTTTGAAGCCTGTGCCAACAGAACAGCTACATCCAGCTTCTGACTGTTCAGGCGTTTAAAATTACACAACACTGCGTAGGCAGAGAGCAATTAAATTTTGCCTTCAATAAACTAGTTATGGTCATGTTTCTGATGTATATCATACCACATTAAAAAAGAAACCCTCAGGATTTGAAAACCTCTGCAAACAAGGAAGGAGGTTTACTCTAGCAATAATATAAATTACCAGAGCGGGATTTTTCCCATAGGATTTCTTTTTTCTAAACACTTTGGAGTATCTGAGACTAAGTGGCTCACGAGAAGAAGTTCCACACGCTTGAGATTTGCACTCCTAAGTTACTCACCAATTTTTGAACATCCTTTCCTTATAACCTATTATTGATGTGAGCATATAGCAGCTCTGAACTTTTAGTCTTTTGATTCCAAAAGCACTTTAAAGGATGAGTCATCTCTTTTGTAGGTGAGGAAAATGTAGGTAAAACAAGGTTAAGTACTCTGCTCAAGGTTAAAAAAGGTCTCCTGAAGTAACTATCACCTCCTCACGGTCCGTCCACCATCCGTGACAAACATACATTGGACTGATGTGCGTTCTCACATAGATGAAAATACTTTGAAATCATCCCGACGCATCTCGCTGATCAAGACTTGTAGAACTAAAGAATGCTTTTTCTGTACCTGAAAACGTCCCATCTGCGTGAAGGTTGAAACCCATCCATAACAGGAGTACTGAGAGCAAAAGAATCACAAGAAAATCACCACCCCCCAAACCCCCCCCACCCCAAAAAATCTCAACAAGAAATGTGTCAGATAGTTGTAGATGAGAAACAAATGCGGAGCGGGTTGGTCTTTCCCAAAGATTTAACTCTTTGAAGCGATAGCAAAGTGGTGGAAGAGTTGAATCGCGTCATTTCAAATTTTCCCTGCTGAGACACAGATACAGTAACTAATTTTAATGCCACCGGGAAGCGCTCCCAGAGGTACCATTGCAATTACTTCTTGTAAGCGCAAGCCCAAGTGTAATTTTAGGTGTTTACATCACAAACAACTGTAGTTTTGGTAAAAGTTTTTAAAATTGCTTCTTCCCTGTTCAAGACTTTTTGTAGGCTGTACATTACAGTAAAGCTCTTGAGCCCAAATATTTTAATAGCTTTGTAGGTTTTTATGTGGAGAAGATTGTCTAAACATGGAATTTTATCCAGTTATTCCGACTTTGAGCCCAATGACTCCTGTTAGGGTGAAACACATCAGTGCTCCTGTTTTGGTCTGAAGACATGGGGAGCCAGAGAATCTGATATATCTCATAAGGTATCACACCAGGTATTCAGCCAGTTCCCACCTGTCTGGACCAAAGACAGATGTCTCAAGAAGCTAAGAGAGTTTTGGTGAGATCTGCCTTTGTTTCAGTAAACGTTTGGGTTTTTTTTCTGAACGCCAGATGTTTCAACCGCAAAACTTTGTGCTTGGAGCCTGGGCCTGTTTCATGACGTATTTTTAATCGGATGTCAGCTCTGGATGAGTTCTGCTAAAGGTTCATCCAAACTTTGGGGAGCCTAAGGGGAAGTGAAAATCCCTTCAGTGCAATCATACCTGGCTCAGTCAGTCATTTTGGAGGTGGGATTCATCCTACCTCTCCTTGGCTTGTAAAACTGAGGTTTCAAAGTGTAAACTAGTCTTTTATGCTACCTCACTAGTCAATCGAGACATCCAAGCACCTGCAGAGGTTGATTCATTGGATCCATTGAACTGAAGTCCCATTAGTCTTAACCGTGTCTCCATCTCTGGGTTAGCCGTTTAGGCTCCCTGTATGTGAGGTAGGTACTTAGAAAAAGCGCTTGCAGATGCTGTAATACTGGGAACAGACATATCTAACGCAGGCAGTTGCTTCAGTTTCCCTTGAGAATATAAGCATCTCCAACCGCGATGAAGAGGTGCACTTATCTCTGAGGAGAAGTCATCGCCTATAACCTTCTCTTGGAGCTAAGTGCCCGTCCAAAGCCTTCCTCAAAAAACAGAGACAGGTTCTCTTTGTCAGTCTTGTGACCAAGGGGCTACAACACCAGAGAGGGGGACTCTTGCCACAGAGCTGTGATTTTTGTCCTATCCGTTTTCTCACTCTCACTGGTGATCCTTTGCCCTATAAACTGCTCGTTGCCAGAGCGGGAAAAGTACATCAGAGAAGGATCGTATTATACTCACCCACTTTCTTCTGTTCTTTCTCTGAATCCCTATTTCTGGCTGCTGTCAGAAATAGATACCCCTGAGCTGGCTGGCTGGTGTCCCACTGCAGAGCTATTCCCATGCTCCCAGAAGTGGAGCTGCCCACCTAGAATAGCAGGGTGAGGAAAAAGAAAGAGCTGTCACTGAATGTCCAGCTGGCACAGGCAGTAAAATGTTGGCAAACGCCGTCCAGTGATCCTTGTTTCACGCTGCTGCTTCAGGAACATTTCCAGTCCTGATTTCTCTGCGGTTGCTCGTGCACACACCTCCACAAACGCAGTCTTCTCTGACATACTCTTTTGCACCAGGATGTTTGGAGGAGAAGCTGAATTTCTGGAGCCAGTTTCTCTCTCCTCATAAAAAGTCATCCCTGCAGTTGAATAAAATAAGAGGGTTTCAAAATAAAGTGAAAAAAAGTACCCTGTGTCAATGAAATCCCCATGCTAATCATCACTGGGATGTGTGCACTTCACATTTGCCACTGAAAATCAGACCATCTATTTTCATATCTGGCTAATCTCATATAACCACTGAGGGATGAAAACGAAGCGTTTTCGTTTGTCCCGTCCCATATATCAGGGATTACTGAAATGCTGGATGAGCCTTCAAAAATGTTTGCACGCACCTTTGCTGTTGAACTTCAACTGACACCACCACAAAGACACCAACTTTTACTGCTTAATACAATTACGCAGACCAATTGTAGACCATTTAACGTCTCTGGAGCCCCTCGGCAACGCGTTGCTATAACTCATTTCTCATACCAATGCCTTGTATTCTTAGAAGGTGTGTGTAAATCAGCATGTACAACCAGAGCACAAGAACATAGTTAAGTTGGGAATATCCAACTCGTGGCTCACTTCTCGGTTCCTTTGCTGTGGAGAAGGGTTTCTGAAGAAAAAAGAGATTTTCTTCCTTAAGAAAAATCAAGTATATTAGAAATGTTTTTTTCTTTATTGTTTGCAATGCAACCATGGCAGCATTTCCTGCCTGTCTTTTGTATGCTGTCAGATTCCGAAATGCACAGTGGGGAAGAGGTTGTGAGTGATTTATTTTGTTCCTTAAAAATACTATCTGGTTGTGAAATTCATGCCGTGGTATAGTTCTGACTTCAGAGCTACTCCAAGACTTTGGGGATCAAGAAGAGTTAGGTTCAGTGTTTTAGTGCTGTTCTCTCCTTCATTTCCTCTACACGTTTCATATTCTGTGCGCAGAAGGTGCACGCATCTGTCACGACCACCTTCCTTATCCACACGGAGGATTACAACATCGGAAGCAAAGACATTCAGAACTTCAAACCAAAAACTCCTACTGCAGAAGGTAGCAGAGTGACTCTGATAATGCTTTGCCGCGACAGCTTGTTTCGTCTAAGCACGCTGTTTTCCAAAGACCATCTTCTTTGTTTGCTTAAATACTTGTGCACATAAAATACGTGAGATGACCTGTTCAGATGCAGTGCCTGGGTGCAATTCATAGGGTCAACATATACACCGAGAACAAGGAGATTAAAGACTAATAAGTAACTATCATTCCCCTCAAACGGTGCACGTACACACCTACACACGTGCGCACACGCACAGAGTGGTGTGTACTACTTTGTGGCACTTTGCATCTTCATATATTCTGAAATATATTTCCTCTGCTTGAGAAATTGCGGATCGTTGGCAAGTGCTACCACCTAAGATGGACGTTTCTGGTGATTCCGAGTGAGGTTCGTGTTTAATGTTTTCAACCTGGAATGCAAAAGGAGGGGTTAAATGCCACAGGACAGCCCTTGTCAACGGAGTCTTAAAGGATTCTTGGACTTCTCCAGATTTGCTCTCTTACTAGTACTAGTCCGTCAAAACTCAGCTGTCCTGCTACTATTTCCTGACCCAGCTGGAAGTTGTCAGGGCCCTGAGGGCACTAATAGACCTTAATAGCCCTGACCACCCTCACCTGAGCCCCCCTGCCCATGGGTCCAGAGCCCTATTTAAGCTCAGCTCAAGGCCTTCAGCCCTTTTCTGAGCTGTGTCATAGGTGTGCCTGTCTTCAGCCCTCTCTCTGCCTCCTGGGTGAACGTTGGTCCCATGCAGCAGCTAACTTGTCTCCTAGATGGATCCCTCAGACCTATGTTGTAGCTTTGTCCCTGTTTTTGGCCCCATCTTCTTTTTCTCCTGATGGGACCCCCTAAAGTAGGCCTTAGATCTGGTTTATTACTTGCTATGCCTGGGGCTGTCAATGGACCCTGTTGGTCCGTGCCTTGTCAGGAAGGGCACTGCCTGTGCTTGGGTCCCCTTGGCTCCCTGTCCCTTTCCCTCCCTGATAGTAGCAATGTGGATGTGTTGCATGAATGCACCTCTACTTTTAAACACCCTTGGATGCTGAAGGAAAACACAACTCAGCCTAACTCAGGTATGAAATATCCTTGAATATCTTCAGTGTTAAGTCTCTTTCCTTTTTTTTTTCCCACCCCACAAAGCTTCTTGTAGATCAGATTCAGGGCTGAACTCTGATGTTCTGCTCTGTCTCTCCTTGAAGCTATTTTCTTTCTATTTCCAGCCTATCACGTGCTGTATAGATGACTAGGAGCCCTCATCCTACTAAGCATATGCATTTTTTTTGCTGTTGCTCTATGGTCCTTTGGATAGATGGTTTTCATTCAGTGCGCTGTCCCAGCTGACTGTATGGTGAGATAATTGCAGTGCTGATACCCAGCATGTAGTCACTACTGGATCTCTTTCCCATATCTCTAAGCTCTAAGTCCCAGTTGTTAGCAGAGGTAGCCACAAAGACAAAAAGTGACCTCTGTTTTGAAATGAGAAGGAACAGTTATGAAAAGGAACAGATTACTTAGCCTCTGAAGTCCCTGCTTTATTTTGTAGCATGAGTTCAGTACAGAGAATGGTCTTTCAGGGAATTTTCTAGACCTGAAAAACCAAAAGCCTGGTGTAAGGTCCCAGTTGCTTCACCATCTCCTTTGGCTTGTTGCCTCTGACGGGCTCCTAAATACTTTTAGAGTTTCTAAGATGAACATAGAGTTGCAGGTGGCTCTGACACACTCTGATGTTTCTCCATGGATAACATCTGTGTCCCTGATTTGGTGCGTCTAAAAGGGAGACGTGCACTTCATAGTCTCTGCTTACTTTATTCTCAAAGGGGTGAAATATGCCTCTCCTAAGGTGATTCCTGCTAAGTGTGGTGCATGAAGTGAGCTTCTCTGTATGCGTTTTGAGACAAAAACCCTCCTTTTTCTCTGCTGCTCCCTAAGGGCTTTGGGTGATGTGGTCTGGGCTGGTGTTGGTTCTGCTAGTGAAGAAATATTTGAGTGGTGACCCCTCATAGATAACTTTTTCCATTTAAACTCACAGCTGGGACTTGCACATTTTTTCTAGTTTTTAAACTAGACGGATTTCCTGTGTCAGTGAAGGATCCTATTTAAAAAAACAAAAAACAAACCAAAATCTTGCTTTCAGACCTCCACAAAGTCAAATTATCTCCAAGTAGTACTGCAGTTTGATGGAAATGATGAGCTCTCATTCTTTGAAGGTTTTCAGTCAGCTTTGGTATAACTGATAAGTCTCTCCTTCAGGGCTGTTTCCTTGTCTGCTCACTACCAGTGACCTTCCCTTAATTACCAAATCTGGATGATGACCTTCAGCCAAGAATGTCATGTACTTGAACTGATTACATCAAGCTGTGTCTGGTTGCTCAACCCCACCTGGGGAATGCACATGTGTAGCATTCATTTGTTTCAGCTTCAAAAGAGCATTGATTGTTAGTAATGTTAAACTTGGCTTCTGCAAACTCAACAGTTGTGGTCATATACTGCCAGTTGGAAATGCTTCTACTATCACACCTGTTAGCACAGTTGTCCTCGTGAATGTTTGCTAAGAGTAACTCAGTCTTTGCCCCATCATTCCCTCCTGAAGATCTGTCATTGTGTCAGAAAAGGAACTAAATAATGGGAGGGGTGCCTCTCCATCTAAGAAATACAGCTCCTTATGGAGTGACACCAGGAATGTGACATCTGTGAATGTGGGAAAGAGGAGCGGGCGAGGCTTTGAGCACAATTAAGGGACTAAGATTAAAGGGTAAAATCAGACAGTATGGCTACCTCCTGACAGGGTAGAAAGGAGGCAGTGGCTTGCTAGCTCTTGGCAGCAATGACACTCACAGGCGTTTAGGTCCTCATGACTGCTGTTTTCTCCTGTTGCCTTTTAGTTTAAATGGCCAGTAGTAAAACAGAGACTAAATTTCAAGAATGTCCAAGTCTATTTTGTTTAATTTATGACATCCCTTTACTAGTTTGACTTTTTGAAAGGAAACAATAACTCTGTCTAGGAGCCTCTTGAGAGCATCCTTGACTTCTGTGTTCCTCAGGCTGTAGATCAGGGGGTTCAGCATGGGGATCACCAGGGTGTAGGCAACGGACACCACTTTGTCCTGGTCCAGGGAGTAGCTAGAACTGGGGCGGAGGTACATGAAGATCATAGTCCCATAAAAAACTGAGACTGATATCAAGTGTGAGGCACAGGTGGAGAAAGCTTTGTACCGGCCCTCGGAGGAGTGGATCCTCAGGACGGTTGAGAGGATATAACCATAAGAGACAAGGATGAATGTTAAAGTGCTGAGTGCAATAAAGGTAACGATGGCAAAAAGCACATGTTCGTTGACAGTGGTACTGGAGCAGGAAAGTTTCAGTAGTGGAGGAATGTCGCAGAAGTGGTTGATGACATTAGGACCACAGAAGCGTAAACTGAACACTGAGCTGACATGCACTATTATATTCACGTGGGCTATCATGTAGGATCCCATAGCCAGTCGGACACAAACCTTTTGAGACATGGTGACCGCATAGAGCAGAGGGCTACAGATGGCCACGTACCGGTCATAGGCCATTGCAGCCAGCAGGTAACACTCAGCGATTAGGCACATTCCACAGAAGTACATCTGAGCTGCACACCCTGGCACAGAAATGGCTTTCCTTTCTGCAAAGAAGCTCACCAGCATTTTGGGAGCAACTGCTGAGGAATTGCCTAGGTCTAGCAGAGAGAGGTGGCAGAGGAAGAAGTACATGGGGGTGTGGAGTCGAGAGTTGAGCCTGATTAACGCGATCATGCCGAGATTCCCCACCGAGGTAGTGAGGTAGAGCAGCAGGAACAGCACAAAAAGAATGGCCTGCAGCTCCCAAATATCTGTGATTCCCAAGAGAATGAACTCATCGACGGTGGTCCTGTTTCTTCTGACCATTCCCTTGATCAACGTGCGTCTTTGAAAGGGACAAAAAGCAAAGAACACAAATCAGTTACAACTCCAGACAGAAGGATAATTCACAGTGACAGTGGAAATGTACTGCATCTGGCAGGAATGTAGAAAAAGAAAATTGCATGGTGCTTTACTTTAACAGAAACCTAGCTGTCGCAAGAGTACACAAGAACCAGGTGCTTAACTCAATTCTCTTGAGAAGTTTGCTGTTCTTACACCTTTAACGCTCCTGGAATGATCGCCTCAAAGAAGGGTTACTTTAGTTCCATTCCTGAGATGGTTCCAGGAAAGAGCATGAGCCTGTTATGCTTTGATATTTCCTGCTCAGCTCTACTGTTATTTTTGTCTCGAAAGCTTGTCTTGCGTCCGTGGTGCCTAGGAGGGATAAAAGGAGGATTCTGGTGAGTTACTCTGCGGTTGCTGAACAGTGGAGCGATTAATTGCTATCCACGTCCCTGGATGATGTTTAAACTGGCCAGGGAGTTCTGAGAAGGGGTCCTTGTAAGAAAATACCCTCATATTAAGGAAAAAAAAATTCATGTAGAAAAGCAGTGTACATTAAAAAGCCGGTGATAATTTCCTTGAAGCTTGTTTGCTGATTCCCAATATAACAACTCAAAGGAGAAGACGGGGCAGTGGAGCAGTGCAGTCAAACCGCCCCGTCACATGGCTCTTCCTCCTCCTGCATCCAGGAGCACGTTGTCTTATTAAGCGGTGCTAATGGCAGGACAGAAGTCCTGTCCTGACAAAATCATGCTTCCGTTGTCCATCGCTATGAAAGGGCTTGCGTATAAATTGCAAGAAACACAGGAGCTGACACCGAAGATGGAATCCATCTCACCTAATGTCACCCAATTGCCAGGTGGGATAGCTACGTTTTGAGGTAGTCATTTAAGGCTTCCTTGACAGTTAAAGGAAAGAAGTAGGACCGTAGGGCAAAATTCATGTAAGCTGCTTAGGATGCCTCCTTACTCGAGGCAAAATGCACTGCCTCTTAGAGGTGCCTGCTTCTCACCACTGATTATTAAAGAGTGAATGATGATTAGATCAGCTGTAGGAGTCGATCTCTGTAGAGGATAACATTTAGTCAGACAAATCAGACCTTCAGAGTCAATTGACATGTTAAATAAAAGCATTTAAAAATGTCTACGGCTGATATGGAAAGGAAAGAAAAACCCCATAATTACCTTTTCACTTCTCTTAAATGTTGACTTCAAGAGAAATGCCTCTCACTTTCAGATTCAGGTCTTGTTTTGGTATTTCTTTAAATTTAGAGTTCTGCAGAAAATGAGAACTGTTAATTGCAAGTGTATTAAATGAAAGCCTGAGTTAGCACGGAGGTGCTACTTAGTGAAGCACATGAATGATTTAAATGCCTTTTCAGCTGCTGCTGTTTGTATTGTATTCTGAGTAATTAAGAATGCCCTTTTAGGCTGTAACAGTGGTTCAGCTGGTGAGCAGAAGCTTGCGGAGCCCAGCGGTGTGATCGCTAATGAAGCGTGCTCATAATTTTCTGTGCTGTAGGAAACTCCATGCAAGGCAAGTGGATTATTTTTAGTGACCAACACTATGGTCTGTATCACCTCTTGATGCTGCTAAATGATTCTTCTCATGCCTTATTCTTTTCTCCTTTTTTTGAGGAATTGAGTGCTCATCTAGCCTACGCTATAACGCTATAATCTCAAGCCACGTTTTGGTGGCTTGAGATGAAGACTTAAATACAGTTTATGAGCATGTGCCGAACAGCTCTGCATCTGCTGTAACCACAGAGAAGAGCAGCTCCGCAGCTATCGCAGATCGGCCGCGGCTGAGAGTAGAGCCCTGTTACGTACTTGCCTGAATGGCATTTGTTGTTTTAAAGACAAACTTTCAGGAGCAAAGTTCAAAAGCCTCCAAGTGTGTTAGGGTGAGAAGCCACAGAGACACTCGCTGGTATTTGTTCTCCTGACTCTCCGAGGTCGTCTTCCAAAAAAACAGGAGGAAAATCCTGCTCAGGTCAGAAGTGCTTTTCTTTCTGTGGCTGCATTATTATTTTAAGATTCCGCTTTTAGCGTTCCTTTATATGGAAGTTCATTACTGATTTTTCTTCTACTGTTGTGTACACGAGCAGAGACTGCAATTTTGTATGTTCTATGAGTGAGCAAGATTTAAAGGAAACAGGATAGAGAACAAAACAGTGAGACAATTAATCTGCCAGATTTTATAGTATTTCAGGCCATGGATATGTTTCTTACCTTGGAAAGTCTTGTTAGAACATGTTACTTTTCCTCAGAAACAAAGTCTGCTGGGAAGCTGGACCCAATGGCATTCAGAGAAGACCTGAATACTGGATCAAGTAAGTTGCTGGCTTGTTCTGCCTTTCCCCTTCTGGCATTGACTAAAGATGAGACGATACACACGGTCATCAGGGGAATGCAAGCTCCTTATGATCAACTTCCCTTAAGTGCTGCATATGTCCTGGGGGGATCCGGCACTGAGAGAGTGATGCAACGGTTGCAGTACGTGCAGGTCTTTGGTTCATGAATCCGGAGCTCATTAGGAGGAAAAAAACCAATGTGTGTGGTGGTGGTGGGGGGGGAACAAAATCCAAAATGTAAGTAGAGGACTCACATTCATCTTTAGGTAATGCTATCATTTATTTTGACAGTAAGTTGGAGCTTGCTTTTTGTATTTTTTTGACATAGATTGAATCCTTTCGTTGGCCATGAACCGTACGTGGGTCATACAGAACAAGAGGTGGCAGATGACTGCTGGTCCCATGAAGTGATCAGCGGTGGTATGAGAGTTTGAAAAAGTTGACCTGAAGGGAAGATAATCATCTCAATCTTTGCTGACTCTCAAGAAACAATGCCAATGTTTGCAAGCTGAACTTCAGCCTGCATTTTCTTCCTGGGATCTAAAGATAGTTTACATCACTTGGCAGTCTTCCTTACTGACCAGCAACATTTATTTTTACTGATTTGCAGTCTGTGGTCATCTGACCCATTGACATCAAAGGAGACAGGTGATTAACGTTAGACGTGTGGCAGGTCCCTGAAAGCGCAATCGGATCAGAAGACATATGCAGCGTCTTCTCCTGAACTCAGATAAGCAGTGACCACAATAATCTATGTACAGATGTTTGTACCATGGATATTTTCCGGGATCTGAGGGATTATTTCCCTACGCAAATTAGAGTGGTCATCTAGAAGTTAAGCCTAGACAAGTAACTTGTAATTGTTTAAGTTGAGTGATGAATCCCCTACCTAACAAAACCAACAAAAATATCAAGGATATGAATAACAATCCAAAAATGATGATTTTCCCATTTTCTCCCGGAGGGGCTTTCCCACAACACTCCTCCCAAAACCAGGACATCCTTTATATTCCTCAGGTGTCATGGGTTAGTCCCTGCCCAGTGTTTCAGACAGGCCAAGCCCACCCATCACTGGCTATTGGAAGCCTCAGTGGAGCTTTCCCATCTCTTCACAGACCATTTCTTGAAATGGTCTGAATAAACATCAGTTTTGCTGCTGTTTTTGCTCCCCTTCTATAGGATTGTTTTGGTGATTATGTAGGGTCTCTCCTCAGGAGTGTCCTCTGTTAAGTTCATGGCCCAGAGCTTCAAGCTGTGCTCTGTGTGAGTGCTGAGGGACAGGGTAGAGTGATAAGAAAGTTAGTATCCCTTTTATATCATTTCAGGAGCACAACGTTTAGCTGTGCAAGCCTAACCTTGCTGTCTGGGCTTATTTTATAGTCAATGTAGGGACTGAGAGACCTGCAAAAAGCAACATGAGCTGTTTTCCTTAGAAACTTATCTTAGGATGGGATGAAACGCCTTCTGGAACTGCTTATTTCTTACCAATGTCAGGTAAAAGAAACCAATTGACTTAGGTTACCAACTTTTAGATGTTTCAAGTTCAGACAAATTTCACTGTCATGCATTTGTTTTGGCTTCCTCTGACCTCCAGAGTCTTTCAGAGCTAGTTTATTTGTTGCCCAACACAAACTGAGCGCCTCACAGTTGTCCTCATCCCTGTTTAGATCTCCTTGGAGACCACCATGAGGAATGGCTCAGGTTCAGATGAAGCAAAACCATAAGAGATTAAGTGCTTACCTATGAACGTATACACACTCTCCATTGCAGTGACACATGAACTAGATAAATGGAAAAGACGAGCAACGCAGCAACTATAAATTTGTTGAGTAGTTTGAGAACGACAGTGTTGAGTCACTGAAGCTTCCTTTGCAAAAAATGCAGCAACTGTGTATTTGTCAAACTCCAAAGTTCATTTATTGCCTCTGTCCATCTAGATAGCTGCTTGATGTTATTTTATTCATTGAACATCTTTTGGTTAAGGATATTAATATTAGCTTTCCTATGATAAAAGCATTAGCTCCTTTTTTTCTGTTTAAAATCAATTGGATACTAACAAAGTGAAGAGATGTATCACTTATAGTAAGCAGTAGATAGGTAATGAAGTAAACTCCTCTAAAGCTTTCCCTGTGTGTTATCACTCCTGTATTTGTTATGAGGGATCCTAGCTAGGAAGAACGGGCATCTTTCCGTTTGATGTGATCATAATCCCATTATCAACAGGTCTAATGCGATTGCCTGAATCCTATTTTCAAAATGATCTTGATCACTTTGAAGTGCATCTGACAATTTTTCAGGAAGCGGTTGCCTCCAGATCCTAGTGGCATGCATCCATGACTTCAGATGGCAGCTTGGCACTCAGTTGTGCCAAAATATTCATGTTATTTCAGCACTGGTCTGATAGCGTATTGTTTTATGAAGGCATTTGCACACTCGGACACCACCAGTAGCATTTTAATTGTTCTACCCTTCCCTTGTGAACAGCTTGGTCTCCTGTATCCAAAGGGAGAGTATAAAACCTGTGGCACTTCCCAACCTTTTCCACATCTAGGAAAAACCAAATATTTCCCTAGTGGGTAAGTTTCCTAATAAGTTAAAATTCCTTCCACGCAGTGAGCTGTGTAGAAAT